AGTTCTGATTTACAAATCTCTGCCTATTCAGCTTATAGCAGTTTAGGCCACCTGTTCACACTGAAGTTATGAGGTGTGTTTCCACCTGGACTGCTTTTTGAATGAGGTACAATATAAGGCAGCCAGCCTGAACAGTGTTTATATATGTCACTCTTAAAGGCACAGTAATAGAATAACTTGTTTAATTCTAAGAGGGTTTGAAAGAAACACAAAATTATACACAAAACTATAGAAATGTCATACGTTGACCCTCAGGCAGGCATGCATAAATAAATAAAAAAGAAAAACAGTTAGTAAATGGTTGCTTTTCATCATATTTTGCTGTTTCAAAGATCATGCTTTTTCTATAATATGCAGCTAAGGTGCTTGAGCTAACAAAGCAAAGCTTAGGCTAAAACTCTTTTGCTTATTTATTTTTGCATGGAAGCTAAATATCGCCACCAAATAATTGAAGATCATAGGCATGAGTTTAGCACTGTGCAAACTACACAAGTCCAAGTCTCGAGTCTCTGGGGTCCAATTCAAGTCTCAAATCTTTAGTAAAGAAAATTTTATGTATTTTTATTATTAGCTATGTAAAACCTCACTGTAGTTTTGTTGTGGTCTTGTGGGCTGTGGGTTAGTTCAGTTGGCGATAGGTAGCAGGGACAAGAAAAAAGAGGGGAGAACTCGGCATTAGAGTTTGATCGTACCACTTTTAATGTAGAAAACACAACTGCTTCGGCATCGCCACAGACTAGACAGAACCATAACACACATTCGGCTGCACCTCTGCGCTCTCTCTCTCTATCTCTCTGTCGCATGCTCCGCCCACTTCACATATGTTGCACTGATAACTTTCTTCATTTAACAGCAACTTTATTTAAAACCAAATACAACATATTTTCTAACAATCTGAAGAAATATTTCAGCATGCAAAGAACTATTTGCAAGCTAATGGTTCTTTGAGTGTTCATGGTCCTATATGGAACCATTGTTTTTACTAAAGAAACTACAGAACAACTACAGCCTAGCCAACCATTTCAAGTTATTTTGCTTCTTTGCTTTAACCTCTTATTGACTAGGGTATATTTTGGTTTTTCCATCTGAATTTACATGACCAAATCGTGAGGCAAATTATTCAGTAACTGCATGAAATAAATGTAAATTTTTATTTTATTTATTTATTTTTTAAAAGCTGCCCTCAAATTAACAGAAAATGTGTTTTATGATCATACACATATTGCTACATACTTAAAATTTACTGCTGAAAGACAAAAATCTTAGATGCTCTCTGTATTTTTTTATAAAAATAATTTTTATAGAGTCTGTCACTGAAGAGACACCATCTGTTTATAGTTTATAGCCCAGATTTGTGGAAAAATGGGTCAGCTTTCAGTAGACAAAAAAAATTGTGAGTTCAGCTTCTTTTATTATAAGGGTTTAAAATTACATTACCCATCTATTTGACTGGAAAGAAGACAGTTACAACTCTCATATAACACCCACCTTTTGAATGTATCTTATGAAATGTGAAAGTTATGAGGAATATGACGAAGTGCATTTTGGAACCACTGGCGGTCTCAAGGAGTTGAAAAGACTAAACAAATTTACTGCATGTAGCTCTTCATTCTGCCCATCAGACTGAAGCTTTTCCTCTAATGAATGTTATTTGAAGCTGTGTTGAACCTGATGCCACTGCGAGCTGCAGGAGAATGGTGAAACTGAAAGGCAAGGTAACATCGAACGAAAGGCTTCAACCATTTTCCTCATTAAAGTTGTTGTTCCTAATTAAATCAGTTTTGTCAATTTTTTTTTTACTTTTTTAAAGCCTCTAGTCCAAGTTCAGTTGTGAGTCAGTCAACGTGTGACGTGAGTGTGACTCCAGTCCAAGTCGCTGACTCAAGTCCTCATCTTGGACTCAGCTAGCACGTAGATGTGTGTGTGTGTGAGAGAATGGTGGGGGATGTTAGGGCATTGTGGCAGTGTTCACACACGTTTGCTCTACGTAAGTGAAATCATACAGTTGGGTGAAAAGGGCAAACGGGTCTGTTGGGAGAGGAAATATTGTTTATCAGCATTTATTTATATGGTTTTTTTTTTTTTCCCTGTGTGCCGCTGGGTGTAACTGAGCCGAATATCTCTCTGAGCTGAGCACTGCAGCCCCTACATCCTCATTACCAGCTGGCCCTTTTCTCCCCGCACTCCCCCACCCCATTGCTTCTTCCTCCCCTTTTTCTATTTATCCCCTCTCCCTTTTTTAATTATCTTCCTCCAAGAACCAGAGGCTGTGCCAAAGGAAATCCCAATTTCCAATTCGGTGCGAGATTGCGTTTTGACACGGCTCATATTATTCGGTTTCAATTTCAGAGAGAGAGAGAGAGAACGCGAGCGTGAGAGAGAGGGAGAACGAGACGGAGAGAGAGGGAAAGATCCTTTTGTCAATGAGATGTCGCTTGGAAAGCATAATGCACTGAACTCCGCTCCCTTATTAATGCATTTCTCTCTGTTTCCTCTCGCCTCTCTCGTCTCCTCATGTAATGCAAAGGCAAATCCGTGGAGGCACAGAGAGCAGAACGTGGAAAATGATCCGTGACAAACGCGTGTCGCTCTGCTTTGGCTTAAAGAAGGGGTCACACAGTGCCTTTTTTATTTTCCAGGCAGTAGATGAGTCAGCTGTGAGTCAGTCTGCTAGAAACACTGTATTATATATTCTTCTGCCTGATATATTTAAGTCAAACTTCTGTTTGCACAGCACAGAAAATGCATAGTAAAAAAGTAGCATATGTTCTTTTCACCCTTTTCAAGGGAAAATGCAATGTTTTATTATTTTATATAGAAAATATACTGTGCTTCAGATGACAGGGCAAGTTCAAACAATCCTGCTAGCATAATTTACAATGAACGGAAGCTGTCGAGGCAGCTAGCGGTCAGCAAGAGCATTTACATTAGAATCCTCACAACAATTGGATAAGATTAAGATTCTTAAGAAAAGATTTGGCACAACGTAAAATTAATTTCGCCTCCATTGTTTCTTAATCATGTTGTAATAACTTCTGTACATATTTTTCTTTAGAATCCTATTTCCAAAAAATGTATGAAAATAGTCATGTCAAATGTAAAAACTAAGAAATTTTACTGTTTTTGAAAAATGTATGCCCATTTTGAATTTGATGTCCAGCAACATGTTTCAAAAAAGTTGAGACAGGATCATGTTTACCACTGTGCTGCATCACCTTTTCTTTTAACAACACTCTGTAAGTGTTTGGGACCAATTGCTGTAGTTTTGAAAGTGAAATGTTTTCCTGTTCTTGCTTGATACAGAATTTCAACTGCTCAACAGTTCAGGGTCTCCTTAGTTGTATTTTTGTTTCATAATGTTTTCAATGGGAGACAGATCTGGACTACAGGCAGGCCAGTTTAGCACCCGGACTCTTGTACCACAAAGCCATGCTATTGTAATATGTGCAGAATGTGGTGTCCTGATATATGCAAGGCCTTCCCTGAAAAAGACATCATCTTGTTGGCATCATATGTTGTTTTAAAACCTGCATATATCATTGAACATTAATGATGCTTTCACAAGTTATCAATGCCATGTGCCATGTGCACTAATGCACCCTTATCCTCCATGATCTGCCAGAGTTTTTAAACAATGTGTCCACTTACTGTCCAGTTTGTTAGATACATGTACCCTTTTCGTACACATGGTAGATGTAAAGTCAGGGACAGTAGCTCATCTGTTGCTGCACAGTTTGTGTTGGTTGTCCTCTAGTCCTTCATCAGTGGTCACAGGACACTGACCACAGGACGCTGTTGGCTGGATATTTTTGGTTGGTGGTCTATTTTCAGTCCAGCAGTGACACTGAGGTGTTCAAAAACTCCAGCAGCACTGCTGAAGCTGATCCACTCGTACCAGCACAGCACACACACAACTCCCCCCACCATGTCAATGTCACTGCAGTGCTGAGAATGATCCACCACCCAAATTATGCCTGCTCTGTGTGGGTCCTGACCATTGAAGAACAGGGTAAAAGAAGGATAACAAAATATGCAGAGAACAATGGACTACAGTTTATACACTTTTCATGTATCTGATGCAATGCTGCACCACTGTAACCAGTTATTAAAACAGCTTGGAAATGATGATGAATTTGCTGCCATGGTAATGCTGCCTCATTACAAACTACTCTATCGTTTGAAATTAATAATGTTCTTAAAATATAGTTGTGCCCATTCTGGGTTGTGAAAGCTATTGCACCCTGTTAAACAAAAATGTTCAGATACATTTGGTCTTGCCTACATTTTTCCTCTTAATTGTCACTGGATTCTCTGAATCACAAGGTTGATATCGAACAAATATTGACACTGCTGTGCATTGATCATTAGACTGAACACCAGAACACCCCACAGACCTGCAAAGACCTGTTCACAGTCAGGTTGCTTTTGCAGCTGTAGCCTGTATTCTGAGTAGTTAGTGTTGAAGTTTAAGAGCAGAATTACTTTTATGTATACAGTGTCATTTCAGTGGGCAGGAATGTTAGTTTGCTTGCCGCATGTATGTAGCATTAATCATATTTTGACTGCTAAACAACCTCATAATTCAGAGAATCCAGTGACATTTGGGGACTACAGGATGTGACAGTGGCATTTTTGAAAAACGCCTTTTTCTCATAGAGGAGAAACTGCTTGGATCCCGAGTTCCTGGGCATGACACTGAATACAGAATGACTGACAACTTCAGAGGCTGAATGGGATTTTTGCCATTGTTCTGTAAAGTTTGTAGAATCTTGCTGGTACGAAATGATGTATTTGTAGGAGGAGCATAAAGCAATGCATAATTATGTTTAAATGTTTTATATTTGGTTAAATATTATGTCAATTACAAGTACAATTGATTATAACATTTTAAATCAGTATAGTTGAATTAGCTCCTTCAGAGTGATGCATCACGATGCAGTGATGCATTTCTTTATAAATGCCATCATGTATAAAAAAAACTTGTCTCTTCTGTCTGTCAGATGCATGGGAGAAGCTGTCTTACCCCTTCACCCCAAAAGCGTTTGGAAAATGGGAGCTCTCCCTTCCTCCCAGAGCAGACGGCTCTCCAGCCATCCAGCACCTGAGCAAGCTAAAGGTACTTTAATCTCTGCAACCAGTCTCCACCCTCCACATGAGGCCCTTAAATACACAATATGGAATAAAATCCTGTTCACTTATTTTAATCAGAATTGGCCACGTTTTCAGAGCACTCATGCCAACCTCATAACACGAACACATTATGCAAAACACAACTCATTCCTGCTGGTCGTATAGAATCCATTTGACAAGAAAAGCCAATGCAAATCTTAATGCAGAGTCGTCTACTACAGGCATACATGTGCACTCAAGCAAATAATCCTATAAGCATAATTATTCTTTCATGTCAAAACTGAAAGCATCCTTTATGTGTAGCTATTGAAAATGACAGCCATAGTATTTAAAAAGTCTGCAAACAATGCAGTAAAAGTGTGGCGCTCTTTTACTACATTCTGATCCATGTTTGACTAAGTAGAGAAAACTATCTATGCTTCACCTACAAATGCATTCTTTCATAGAAACTGTTGCGAGGTGGGGCAACCTTTACAGAATGTCTACATAACATTGAATTTTCCCACTGTTTAATATGCTGTGCTACTAAGCTCAACCCAAAGATAAGCTTCGTAATGTTGAGTTTCCCATTTAAAGTGCGACACTGCGGAGCTGGGCTCTCCTGTTGCATCTACTTCAAACAAGGCAGATTAGAAACAACAAATTTGTCACTGTGCTGGATGATTATACTAGCTGATCTACCCTAACAGTGTGACCTGTTAATAAAAAATATAATAGTAGTAATTGAAATGACAATGACAAATGGGTGCATGACAATTCTCTTAAGCTTGGCCACCATTTTATAGCAATCAAAAATGACTGTAAAGGAATGCATTTTTGGGCAGAGCATGAGTAGGTCAATTACAAAGGGACATGCATATTAAAGTGTTTCGGATTATGAGGTTTAAGGCTGCCTCATAACGGACACACTGCACAGCGGCCAAACATTTTAAAACATTGTTTTCTATGAAGGTGATAGTATTACTGAGAGAGCTGTGGAAATTATAGATGGTAACTTGCTCTAATTATTACTTAGCAGACTTGTTCACACTGTTCATACAGATCTTGAAGTCACTCAGATTACTGCCCCTTCACTGGTAAAACTAATCCAGCTTGAACAGGGTTTAAGAGAAACAGGCAAATACTTTTCTCCTCACTTAATGTTACTGGTTGTTTTTACTTCTTTCAACTCAAAAACAGTATGTTTGTGAAGAGTTAATTAGCTCTTATGAAATGTGATACATTTATTAAACAACATTAAAAGCGTAATCCATTTAAACTACATGATATAACTGGGGTGACCATATTTTGGAGGACACTGGGGGCAGGGGGGCAGCATGGGGTACATTGTAGAAAACCACTGTTGACCTGAAGGCAAAGCCAAATGCCAGACATTTAAGACAATTTTGGAATCCTGTCCGGACGCGTTTTTTGTCCTGGAGAAAGGGGACGTATGGTCACGCTAGGTGCACTTTGTGCTGCTACGTGATCCAATGTTGGAACCAATGTTGCCTCTGTTGTGGTGTGATGTGTGTTTCTGTATCTTGTGTATTTTGCATACGTTTCTGTTTTGTTCAAGCTAATTCATAAAAATTAATTCAAGCAATTGGGAAAAGCTCCAGACACCTGTGGGACAGACTTTAAGTGGATCAAATGCTTAGTTTCTGTGGCTCGATTAAAGGCTTTTAGCAGAATGGACTCTCACTCCCCTCTCTCTGACGGCCATGGGCCATTGGCTGGCCTGGGTGGCCATTTTGGGTGGTGGAGCAGCTTGACTTGGCGGTGAGGGTTAATTTGGGGTTGATGGAGGGATTGAGACAGATGGGAACATGAGTGCCCAACAGGTCTCCATTTGCTGCAGTTGGCTTTACTTGATGTGTCCTACCCAGCTTGCCGTAGCACCGCGCTAGTGCCCAGCATTGTGTCTCCCCTGGACGCCGGAGGCTGCTCTAATTGTATTAGTGCTGCATCAGCTGTGCCGTCTCTGCTGCCACACGCTCCACAAAAACTCACTCGGGCACACGCTCACACCTGCTGATTTTCTTCCTCTGTACTCTGCTTCTGAATCCATGCTTTTCTTTTTGCTCTCAACGCTTTGTGGAACCTCATTCTGTCAGGAGGTGTTGATTGATGGTGAAACGCAGCCATACAAGAACACCGCTGTCATGTTTAAATTGCGTTTAAATTTAGATGTTTTAGCTGACGCGCTCTTAACTAACTGCAGGGATGCTTCCCTCTGAAGCAACAAGGGGCTAAGTGGCTTCCTCAAGGGTGCAATGGCAGTAGCTCTCAGCTGGAGATCGAACCCCATGATCCCATCAGTCATTGTCAAGTTCTCTGCTTCCTCAAATTCGTGACCAGGTAAAAGAAAGAAGGGAACAGCAAGTTCATGTGCTCTCCTGTGGTGCATTTTACTGTAAGAAGGAACCATTTGACCTTTCTCCTGAATTTAGAGCAGTTTGTTGAATGGGGCAGCAGATGGCTTGTTTCAGGAGGCACTCATTTATAGGCTTGATGAGCATAATGACACTGAGTCATGCCTCCTCCACTTTCTTGTGTTGGAAAATGGAATGTATTCTTCAGAAATATGGTTGATACTGTTTTGAGAGAAAATTAGGCATAACATTTTTAGCCAAACCTGAAAACCATGTTTTTTTTTCCACAAAGACCAGCCCGTTAGTTCTACATCTGTGTTCTCTGTGTTCAGCTCTGCTACAGATGTTTTGTAATGTCTGATGTGAAGGATCTGTGTTGATTACACTGTCTGGGTTTTGCCCAGCATTGAGTAGTAGCTAATATTATTACAAACATGGTGTTTGTTTGTGCTTAAGCCAAATAACCTTTTTACAACCAAGACATCAGACCCAATCCACAGCAGCAAGTTTACATTCCAAACCCAATTGTTGACTGACAAAATTCTATCCAATCTCGACTGTCAACTTACAGAATTCTATCCAATCCCAACCGTCAACTGACAGAATTCTATCCAATCCCGACTGGCATCTGACAAAATTATGTCCAATCCCAACTGTCGACTGACAGAATTCTATCCAATCCTGACCGTCAACTGACAGAATTCTATTCAATCCCGACCGTCAACTGACAGAATTCTATCCAATCCCGACCGCCAATTGACAGAATTCTATCCGATCCTGACTGTTCACTGACAAAATTCTATCCCATCCTGACTGTCGACTGTCAAAATTCTATCTAATCCCTACCGTCAACTAACAGAATTCTATCCAATCCTGATGTCAACTGACAGAATTCTATCCAATCTCGACTGTTGACTGACAAAATTCTGTCCAATCCCGACTGTTAGCTGACAGAATTCTATCCAATTCCAACTGTCGACTGACAAAATTCTATCCAATCCTGAATGTTTACTGAAAAAATTCGATCCAATTCCGACTATTGACTGGAGATGTTGAAACAGTTTGCTAACAATAAACCAGTTAAAACTGCAAAAAGCTAAACACGCGCACATCCCGGCAGGGGCATGCCAGGTCACCAAGGTCCGTAGCGCCACTGTAGATTCTTTCTTATTTGCATTTATAAGCACTCAGCTGATTTATTAATGGAACATTATTCTGCAACAAGAAACTCTTAAACACTAAAACGTCGCGAGGATAACGTCAACTTCTTGTTTTAATTTTCCCGTTCCACCTTAAATGGTGCAGCAGTTACATTCTGGTGGCTCAAGCACCATTTAAGGGGGAACCACAAGCACCAGTAAACAAACATCTACTCTCCGCCGAGCACTCGCTCTCTCAGTTGCTGATCATTTTTGGGCAAGAAAATGAACCTTTCCTCTGAAACCTGTTCCTCTGAAAAGTGGCTGTAGCAGCAACTTTAAAGCACAAACTGCATTCAGTGTATTGTGAAATGCAGACACAGTGTTTTTTTTTTTTTACTGACCCCACTGATGCTGATGCTCCCGCCGCTGCTGCTGCATGAACTAAACTAATCAAATTAATCATTGCTCCACCTGTTTTCCCTGTTTTTGTACTAACAATGTTTACTATCCGGTGTCGACCAGAGGAGGATGGTTTCCCCTTCTGAGTCTTGGTTCCTCTCAAGGTTTCTTCCTGTTCTTAGGGAGTTTTTCCTTGCCACTGTCGCCACTGGCTTGCTCATGGGGGCTTGGACCCGGATTTCTTTCTGTAATGCTGATTTCCTTGTAAAGCTGCTTTGTGACAACACCTGTTGTAAAAAGCGCTATATAAATAAACTTTACTTACTTACTTACTACTCCGTATGACAAAGTGTATTCCTTTATTAACTGCACAAACTTGTTTTCCTCTGCTTATCGTCAGCTGACTAGCCATTGGAACTGGGATAAGGCTGTTTTTGCTTCAAGCTCTAACATTTGAGTAAGCTATAACACTCAACTCATCATTGTTGCTATTGCAATTGCTTTAGCGGAAGCAGCGTTACCGTCCAATGACTACTTCCAGCAGAAAAAAAATGCAGAAATGTGAAAAGGGCCTATCCTGACTGTTGACTGGCAAAATTCGATCCAATCATGACTGTCTGACAAAATTCTATCTGATCCTGAGTGTTGACTAAAAAAATCTATCCAATCCTAACTGTTTATACCCCACTATAGACTGACTAAATTCTGTCTAAATCTGGCAAAATTCTATCTAAACCCAACCCAAGACAGAGGAATCTAACTGTAGACTCGTAAAATTGTATTTGAACCTCAGTGGTGACTGATAAAATTCTATCAAAACGACTATAGACTGACTGCCTGCACCCAACCCAGACCTAACCAATAATGTCTAATCATGACCAAACCCCAATGTCAATAATCAGGTCATGTGGGGTTTGGAGAAAAAATGTAATTTCCAGAAAAGAGGTGTATGAGAAATTACAGTAAGTGTCCACCTGCTGTGAGACAAGAAAGAGTTACAGATGAAAAGTGTATTTTTCTGTGTGTGTGTGTGTGTGTGTGTGTGTGTGTGTGTGTGTGTGTGTGTGTGTGTGCGTGTGTGTGTCTTCTGT